GAGACAGACACACAGACACACACACACACACACAGACAGACACACAGAGACAAACAGACACAAAGACACACAGACACAAACAGACACACAGAGACAGACACACACAGACACAGAGACACACAGTCACAGAGACACACAGATACAGACACAGAGACACAGAGACACACACACAGACACAGACACAGGCACACACAGAGACAGACACACACACACACACACATACACACACACACACACACAGAGACAGAGACAGACTGACCTGTGAGCGGCTGGATGCTGAGCTGAGGCTCCTGTGAGTAAACCTCATACTGAACCACAGGGTAAATATGGGGCAGAATGAACTGCACGCGGCCCAGCGTCACACACAGCTGCCGGAGAGTATACGAGCCCGGCTTCTGACTCTGAGCAAAATCAAAGACGCATGAAAAGGTGGGGATTAACACACTTTTATCCTGTAAGCCTGTTTTTATGATTTAAATAATTTTTAGTAAGTGTTTTATTTTGATTGTTTTTATTTTAAAATTATTTATTTTAATTTTACATTTTTACAATTGAATTTTTTTTTGTAAATGTTTAATTAATTTTTAGTAAACGTTTTATTTGGATTGTTTTATTTTAAGCTATCTATTTCAACTTTACATTTTTATGATCTGACATATTTTTTAAAAAGTGATTTATTTTTGTTATTTTTCTTTTTACATTTTTATGATTTAATGTTTTTAGTAAACATTTTATTTTGATTGTTTTTAATTTAAAATGATTTATTTTTGTTTTACATTTTTATGATTTAATAAATTTTTAGTAAGCTTTTTATTTTGATTGTTTTAGTTAATTTATTTTTATAAAAAAATTAACAAGCATTTTATTTCAAGTGTTTTTTTTTATTTTAAGTTGTCTATTTTAATTGGACCTTTTTACAATTTAATATATTTTTTAAAAAGTGTTTTATTTTTATATTTTTAAAAAACATTTTTAATACAAAAACTACTTTTTTATGATTCATTTTTAGTAAGCGTTTTATTTTGATTATATTTTATATATATATATTATAATGTTTCATATACGTTTATTTTAATAATTTCTCTATGAACTCCCGTTTGGGAAACCCTTCTATAATCTGATGCAATGAAACATTTCTTCTCACTGGTGCGGTGAAGACGATGCTGTTGTTGCCAGGCAACAGAGTGACATCACTGGCCCTCAGCATCTGCGCCGCATCCTCCATAGCGACGGCTGGCGCGGTGTTGGGCGTGTCCAGAGACGTGGTGCTGTCATGGCGACGCATCAGCAGGTGCATGTTCCTGCAGGCCACGCCGGCGGAGCTCAGCGCGTTATCAGACGGACTGTGCTCCAGGATCTCGCAGAGCTCCAGCGCAGACGCAGACGCAGGGCTGGCTGCGGGGAAGGTGACGGTGCCGTCTGGGTTCTGAGCGGCTCGTTTCTGAGCCGTGGAGCCCGGCTGCTCCTGTGTGAAGTGTATGCGGAGATCTGCTCCAGCGTCACAGGAACGGGCATCAGACTGCAGAGACGCAGCTCCAGCTGCAGGGCGGCGCTCACATGCACCAGCGCCGAGGACGGACGGAAACGCAGCTCCTGCAGCCGAGTGAAGGAGCTCATGCTCAGAGCCACACGAGCATCTGTCAGACAGAGAAACACAAGAATGTTACAATGGAGCAGTTAAACAAAACCATTCAGTGATTCACTCCAGTCATTAATTAAAGCAACATGTGCGAACAGATACAAATCTATCATGTGGCCTGGAATTAAGTCGTACTCATTTGATACTTTTATAGTGTTTTTGTAGCCTAGCAGCTGTAGTTAGTTGACTCAAGACAAAGTTGACCTTTCTGGGGGGGGAAAAATATAAATAAATAAAATATTTTTTATATATATTTATTTGTATGATTGTATTTATTTAAAAAAATATATATATTTTTTTCAATATTTTCTTTTTTTATAATTATTTATATATCTCCTTTTTTGATATTTTATTACATTTTTATACTTTTCTTTCTGTTCTCTGTGAGTAAAGAGAAACACCAGATGGTTCGGGTGGCAGCTGTGGTTAATTCACTAAGGATACAGTAAAATAACTATAAATATTGTTATATTTATTTTAGTTCTATAAATCTCAGCCCTTTTTCTTTTCTACTGGTGTGTGACGCGTCTCTCAGTGATGAGTGAAGGATACTCGTCCATCTTCTGCAGCTGTTTCTGGCACTCTGCGATCTGTTTGCGTGTGTGTGTGAGCGGCAGACTCCAGCTCTCCGACACGTATGACTTCAGAGAATCCAGCAGGAAGTTCTCAGCGCTCTGGGGGTCACCCTTCCTCCTGCACACACACACAC